TTGTGTGTGTGTGTGTGTGTGTGTGTGTGTGTGTGTGTGTGTGTGTGTGTGTGTGTGTGTGTGTGTGTGTGTGTGTGTGTGTACGGATTTACTGTTCAGTTAGCTATATCTGAAGAAGAGCATTGCCCGAAACGTTGTGTCTACAACAGTATATATATCAAAATATACGCAGTTAACTCCTTGTCGTCTTCGGTGATTTTACTACAACGTAGTTTTTATCTCTTTCAACAACCACTACGCGTACTTGTTAGCATATGCTAAATATGAAGAGAGCTAACTACACTCTATCGGTGACCTTGAGAATTATTCCCTTCTTGTTAGTTAATTCACGATCATACGACTTTCTACTAACGTATACTATCGTTAAGCAAATATGAGAGCTCTTAGTAATTACTTAAAAGGTTTCGCCTTTCTAAAGAGAACTGGTTTAAGTTTAAACCATCAGGGTTATATAAACTTCAAGAGATGGAATTCAGTAGGTTCAGATACCAAGCAAAATAACTGGAAAATAAGAATTCAACTTGCAGCAGCTTACAGAGGTTTGGAAGCCTACAATATGAATGAAGGCGTATGCAACCATCTAACAGCATTGGCTCCAGCCAGTAGTGACAACGGAGAAGTAATGCTAGTTATACCATACGGTCTGCACTGGAGTGAGGTACATGTAACGAATAAGCCTTGTCAGTTTAAAACTAGGTTATGCCGTAAAGTCCGCAAAGCATCTTTAGGCTATATCTTCATTTAATGATAAAAACCACAGTTTTTAGCTTTTCTCTGTATGTAGACGCTTGATACATTAAGAACGACTGAAATAATAATTTAAGTAATAATTAATATGTATTTGTTACTTTATAGATTTAATAGATATTTGTTGTTACTTTATTAACGTTTTTACGCTTATACTGTGGGGTAAAAATGGCTGCTGCTATGATTTTGTCAGGTTTATGAGTTCGTTGCTGTCCTAATTTAGGATCTTCTTTTTAGTAAATTCTTGAAAATGTTAAAAAGAGAGAGAGAGAAAGGGGGTCCGTGCTGGCTCTCGACGTTCCTGAACTCGGTTCAATACAAACTTCGATATCATGTTCATTAGTATATCATTAGTATATATGTGTGTGTGTGTGTGTGTGTGTGTGTGTGTGTGTGTGTGTGTGTGTGTGTGTGTGTC